CCTAGTTGCTCCGCGGCATGTGGGATCTTCCCAGACCAGGGCTTGAACCCGTGTCCCCTGCACTGGCAGGCGGATTCTCAGCCACTGCGCCACCAGGGAAGCCCTATGTTGAATTTCTGAGGAATCATCATACTGTTACCTACAGCAGCTTCACCATTTTACATTCCCACTAGCAATACACAGTGTTCTAATTTCTCTGTATCTCTCATTTTTAAAACATTTAAGTATGATATTTTGGTTACTGGGAAGAACCTGTGACCACTCAGTAACAATCATAGACCTGGGACCACTGACCACCTATTCAAATGTGTCAGTTAATTCGCTTTCCTGGAAGAAGTAATGCAACAGTACACAATATTACTTTCAAGGGAGGGTTCGAAATAAACAGGAACATTTGGTGCCATGTTATGTCAGCATTGCTTCATCAAAAATTATTGTAAAATTCTGCGGTGCTAGATTCACCAGGTCGTTCATGTTAAAAATGAAAATGTCACACACACACACCCCTTCCCCAGCAGTGGCTTCACCTGTGTCAACAGAAACCTATTTTCTAGTCTTTCCTCTCTGGGTGGTCTAAAGGTATCAGATCAGGTACCATCTGGGACTTCCCTGGCAGTCCAGTGGTTAGGACTCCGCACTTCCACCGGAGGGGGCGTGGGTTCAGTCCCTGGTGGGGGAACTAAGATCTCGCATGGCGTGGCCAAAAAAAAAAAAGCTCAGATATCATTTCAGAAACCATTCCCCGAACTGAATGATGGTGTTTGTGATCCTGATAATATCTGCTTTCAGCTTCACATTTCACATGATTATGTAGCTCATAAATAGAATTTAGGAATATGTTTCTTCATATAACCCGTAAACTCTACTCTATGCTAAGTAGAACGTCTTTATAAAATCTTTCTTTATAATTTTCAATTTTCATAGATCTAAGTGGCCACTGGAGGAGTAATTTTCACAAACACAAAAGTAATTAACTCGAAGGAAATTGAAAGAACCAAAATTTTGTAGTCATGTTTTCCAGTATAGGATCAATACCCACTAAATCCTTCAGCGAATCTGGGATCATGATTAAAGCTTTTAATTATTCTGTACTGTTCCTAAACTGTCTTTTTCTGCACACATTGAAGAATGTGGATATGTATTTCAAATATTTAATAGCTGCTAGGGATTCTGAATGTTCCCTGGGAATTAATTACAGTGAGTGCAGCATTTTTATTTCTCAGGCTGCTTCAGCTGAAACACACTGAGGTAAAACCAGCGAGTGAGAGTCAATATTTAACTGGCACTTCACTTGGACATTTTATTCTAGTTTCAAGCTTTCATGTTTAATAATTGATTGAGGGAGGGGGGTAGGGGTTAGCTCATTCTGTTCAACACTTTTCTGAGTGATTTGAATAGAGGAAAAGCACACTGTTAGGTGTGCAGAAGGCATCAACCTGGGGAAGGAGAGAGAGAGGGTGAAAATTAGATGACAGTTTGGGTTGTAAACGATACTATTTTAGAATTAGGGCTGAAATGAACAAGACTGTAATTTGACAGGAAGAAATATGAACCTTGCACTTTGGGTTAAAAATTCAGTAACACAGGTAAAGACTCGGTAAATCGTGGTGTGATTGGTTGGTGCGGAGTTTGTAGCTGACTGTAAACTCAGGGTGAGCCCAGAGGTGAGCCTGGTTGCTGACAAAGCTCGCATAATCACGGAGGTCTCCGTTCCACAGACAAGGGGGTCACACGTAGCCTCATTTTCAGTGATGAGGACCACGTTTTAAGGCAGACGTTGATGAATGGGGCGGGTGGGGGGAGGCATCTGAGCATCATGTCACGCGAACAACACCGGAAGGAACTGGGGAGCCCAATTTGCAAAAGAACCTAGTACGAGCCTTTTCCCGTGTCTGACAGATGGTCCCCTGAGAGAGGGATTAGTAACTGAGATTCAGATTTCAGACCAATGTGGGACTGTTACAGAAAGGCAGATTTCAGCTCAACAGAAGAAAGAATAATTAGACCTCTCCAAAAATAGAATGTGCTTCTGCTGCTGGGACTATTCTGGCAGTTGGATGAACGCCAGCAGTGGGAGGGAGCCCTACCTAAGGGTACAAGGTTATACCTGCTGACCAGTCCCAAGCCCCAGAACTCTCTGGAAGTGTGTGCCTCTTGGCCAATACTGTGGGTGTAGTAGCTGGCTTTAGGGCTCTAGTAATGGGACTGCCAAAGCTACGGGCAACCCAAGTGGATTGATATATGCACTAATGCAACAGGACATCTCTTTATTTTACATGGGAATGTTGCCCTGGTCTCCACGGCAGAAGCCACCAGAAATCACAACCAGTAGCACTTAACGATTCATTCTCAGAGCCTCTGAACAGCAGCTGAAACATGGAAATATTGGAAGATGGGTTACCTTTCCCATCTTCCTATGGGAGTAGTAGCTTGGGGTCCTTTCTTGATTCCAGGAATATACGTTACAAGCTCAAAGGCTCTTAGATGGCCCTAAGAATCAAAACACCATGTTGCTGCAATGGCATCATTTCATTCTTTTTTATGGCTGAGTAATATTCCATTGTATATATGTACCACATCTTTTTGTTGTTGTTAGTTTCTGCTTCATAACAAAGTGAGTGGATCTAGAGATGATCATACTAAGTGAAGTAAGTCAGACAGAGAAAGACAAATATATGATATCCCTTATATGTGGAATCTAATCCTAAAAAATGATACAAATGAACTTATTTACAAAACAGAAACAGACTTACAGATATCAAAAACAAACCTATGGGGCTTCCCTGGTGGCACAGTGGTTGAGAGTCCGCCTGCCGATGCAGGGGACACGGGTTCGTGCCCCGGTCCAGGAAGATCCCACGTGCCGCGGAGCGGCTGCGCCCGTGAGCCATGGCCGCTGAGCCTGCGCGTCCGGAGCCTGTGCTCCGCAACGGGAGAGGCCACGGCAGTGAGAGGCCCGCGTACCGCAAAAAACGCAGTGGGAGAGCCCACAACAGTGAGAGGTCCACGTACTGAAAAAAAAAAAAAGAATCAAAACACCAACATCGTTAGTGTCAGCACACGAGCTAATATATGTTAGAAGTTACTGAGCTCCTCTGCTTCTTCAGAAACAACAGCCTGGTGTAAGGCAGTGGTTCTCAAACCCCAGCAGGCGTCAGACTGGCTTGGAGGGGTTGCTAGGACACGGAGAGCTTGGCACCACCTTCGTAGTTTCTGTTTCAGGCCATGTGAGGCGGGGCCTGAGATTTTGCATTTTTACTAAGTCCACAGGTGATGCTGCTGTTCTTTCCAGCTCTGCATTCAGTGACCTCAGATTGGTAGTTTGAAATTGGCCATAGTGGCAATATATACACCGCGGGAATTGGTATAAATTCTGAGAGCCGGTAGTTCAACATTTACCAGTAAACCATCCCTGTAGACTCAGAGCAGACAGAAATTATAGGATGATCGAATGTCTAACGCAACACTGCTCAATTCATTTCATTCATGGATTTAATGAAGGTTCCCTGAGCCCTGGCTATGTAACCAGAGCAATATTTTTTTAAGCAATATTGTTTCAATTATAATGTGTTGCAAAGATTTACCAAGAATGGAGTTCGTGAAATAAAGCGTACTCTTGGATTAAAACAATGAAATATGGTTTCATATATTAATTATTATATCGATATATATTAATTAATGTATAAATAATTAATATATTAATTACTTGCTGTAAGAAAAAGTCAACATTTGATCCATTTCATAAACGTGTATTAAAATTAGAAGTGAAAATGAACATAGACTAGTGATTCTTAAATAAATGTACATATCGATTCACCATTATCACCATCTAACACTTACTGACTCAGACTCATAACCTGCTCTAAGTTTATGATGATCTCATTTAATTCTTATAAAAATCTGTCATGTAGATACTGTTAAACCTGCTGTACAGATAAAAACCCGAGTCACAGCAACAGGCCCATGATGCTTATGTATCAGTGTGTGTGGAGCATCAGGCAGTCGTGGGTCAGGTGATCTCACATGGAAAGTCCTGGAAATCTCAAATACAGCATTTCTTTTGTGTGTGTGTGTGACTTAATGAAATTTAAAAAATTTTTATTTTATTGAGGTATAGTTGATTTACAGTGTTGTGTTAATTTCTGCTGTACAGCAAAGTGTTTCAGTTATATATATATAATATATATGTATATGTATATATATTCTTTTTCATCTTCTTTTCCATGATGGTTTATCACAGGATATTGAATATAGTTCCCTTTGCCATGCAGTAGGACCTTGGTGTCCCTCCATCCTATACACAATAGTTTGCCTCTGTTGACCCCAAACTCCCACTCCATCCCTCCTCCCTCCCCCTTGGCAACCACCAGTCTGTTCTCTGTGTCTGTGAGTCTATCAAATACAGTTTACTGACGACAACTATATTTTTATTATACAATCGCTATATTCTTAAATATATTTTTAATACATTTTAGAAGAAAACATTGCTAGCATCAGCACTTCCACAACACACTCCTAGAACACTGGCATTCCAGGGAAAGCTATGTAAACATGGGCTAAATGGCATTAAACCATAATAGCCTGACCATCCTACGTCTCCTCTTTAGAGCTGTACCTCCCAAGAGGAGACCCCTCAGCCCTCTTCTATGGTGCGTGGGCATCATCAGAGTTTGCCACTCTGACTCCTGTATCTCTGCTACCAGGAGGTTGACCTGCTATGCCTGACACTTTTTTTTTTTTTCTACATCATTCTTAGGTTATTATCGGTCTATGATAATAGACTGATGTTACCATATCAGGCTGACTTCAAAACCTTCTGCCTTTAAGATCCTTTTGTGTCTGTTTGATCCCAACGACTGCAGATCCTGGGGATTTGTGTTTGTCACCACCTGGATTGGCTACAATCCATCTGTCACGCTCACTGCTTCGTTCAGAGGCATCATGTGACCTAACACGAGTATTACGTGGAGTGAAAACGTAGATGCTCTCAGGCCGTGAGCATGTACGACATGTCCTGTCGGGAGTGTGATCTCACTTTAAAAGAATCCAGCTGTGAGCAGTCAGCCACAGAAACCTGGGCGACAGGTTTGAGGGATGAGCAAACAAGTCTAACTGTAGTTGCAGGGACAGGGCGTGGTCACATAGCCGCGCAGCCAAGCCACTAGCCCTTCCCCTGCAGAAACACGGTTGCTCACTGCAGTCTCCTTTTGGTCGTCTGAACAGACCCTTCTGGACCACGTCTGCCTGATTCTTCAGCCAGTTATGTGCCCTGAAGACCTCGCCCTCCCTAACAAACATTGCAACAATCTCCGCAGTCGCCACGAGCCACGCTTATAATTGATCCACCAGCTCACATGCCATAGAATTTCACAGGTTTCCAAACTCCACACCAGCACTGTTCAGTAAGAATCAAATGCAAACCACATATATAATTCGAAATGTCCCAGTAGCCACAATTTTTTGTTTTTTTAATTGGAGTGTAGTTGATTCACAATGTTGTGTTAGTTTCGGGTGTACAGCAACGTGATTCAGTTATACATACACATATATATCTATTCTTTTTCAGATTCTTTTTCCTTATAGGTTATTACAAGATATTGAGTAGAGTCCCCTGTGCTGTACAGCAGGTCCTTGTTGGTTATCTGTTTTATATAGTCGTGTGTGTATGTTGATCCCAAACTCCTGATTTATCCCTCCCCCACGTTCTCTTTAGAGAGGAGTATTTTTCTGTCCACCTTGACAATGGGAAGAAGACTGTAAGGTCTCTTTTGTAGAAGAGTCTTTTTCTTTGTTGTAAGATTAAATCTGATGTCCATCTGTTCGGCACCATGATACGTCCTGTGTAATGTCATTAATCATTTCTCACTATAATAGTTCAGGGCATCGCATTTAGTTATCTCAGGCCTAATCTTGTATATTAGCATCAGCAGAGAGGAAGATAGCGCAGGGCAGAAGGTGATGGAAATAGCAGAAATGGGTAGAAGGTAGATAACATGATAATAGCCAACCGCCAGACATCTGCTATGTGCCAGGTTCACGTATAGACAACGGCTGACCTAGCCTACGTACAATAGCTCCGAATTCTTCCAACAACTGCACGAAGTCGTTAGATGTAGTCTCATTTTTCAGGTAGAGAAACTGAGCCTGAGAAGCACTCTTTTGGAGAAGGTGACAAACCTAGTCTGAAATAGAATCCAGGCGAAGCATGGCCCATTCTCTTCCCCACACCACGATGCCTCCCAATAAAGCAAAACAAATGAAAGAGGAAATGGTTTGCTGTAAACCAACTGCAAAGCATAAGACATATTGAATGAAAGGGCAGAGTGTGAATTACACAGAGCGTGATATCAACTTGGTGGGGAGAAATAAAGCATTTCATCACTTTCCTGAACGACAGAGACGAGGGAACAATTGAAGAGGCAGTGAAAGCAATGGTGTCCTGAGGTGATGACAAATACAGAAATGAAGAAAATGAAGTTTCAGAGGAACAGTGAAAATGGAAGAAGCAGGAAGGACTGAATGTGCACAAGTGAGAAGTATGATTAAGAGACCAAAGCAGACAGAAAAAAGTAATTCGGGTGACCATTACATCAGTGGCATTCAGTTTTCTGACTGCAGCCCAGAGTAAGAAATATATTTTACATAGGGACCCAGTTAACTAACACTGTGCGTGCGTGCGTGTGTGTGTGTGTGTGTGTGTGTGGTGTGTGTGTGTGTACCAGTAAAACACAGGTGCAAAGGGAATTCAGTGGAGAAAGGATAGTCTTTTATTTATTTATTTTTTCATTGCAAATATTTTTTTTAAGTTTTTTTGTTTTTTTAAAATAAGTTTTTACATTCTTTTAAAAAATATTTATTTAATTAACTTTATTGGCCGCATCGGGTCTTAGTTGTGGCACACTGGGTCTTCGCTGAGATGCCGGGCTTCTCTCTAGTTGTGGAGCGCGGGGTCCAGAGCACGCGGGCTCTGTAGTTTGAGGCTCGCAGGTTCTCTCGTTGAGGCGCACGAGCTCAGTAGTTGTGGCGGCGCAGGCCCAAGGATGGAACCTGCGTCCCCTGCATTGGAAGGCAGATTCTTGACCACTGGACCACCAGGGAAGTCCCCCATTTCAAATATTTTTTAAAAATTTTTATTTTATATTGGACTGTGGTTGATTTATAATGTTGTGTTAGTTTCAAGTGTACAGCAAAGTGGTTCAGTTATACATATACATGTATCTATTCTTTTTCAAATTCTTTTCCCATTTAGGTTATTACAGAATATTGAGCAGAGTTCCCTGTGCTGTACAGTAGGTCCTTGTTCTTTATCTATTTTATGTACAGTAGTGTGTATCTGTTAATCCCAAACTCCCAATTTATCCCTCCTGTCCACCTTTCCCCTTTGGTAACCATAAGTTTGTTTTCTATGTTTGTGAATCTGTTTCTGTTTTGTAAATAAGTTCATTTGTATCATTTTTTTTTAGATTCCACATATAAGCGATATCATATGACACAGTTAGGAGGATAAAAATACAATGACAGACTAGAAGAAAATATTTGCAAAGTGCATATTGATAAATGACTTGTATCCATAATATGTAAATAACTCTCAAAACTCTCCATAAGAAAACAACCCAATTAAAAAATGGGCAAAAGAGTTGGACCCTTCATCAGAGAAGATATACAGATGGCAAATCAGCACAAGATGCTCAACATTATTAGTCATAAGAGAAGTGCAGATTAAAATTGCAATGAGATACCACCACCCACTTATTAGAAGGGCAAAAATTAAGACCAGCTCTATTAAGTTTGGGCATGGATGTGGAGAAAGCTCTCAGTAGAACACTGCTGGTGGGAATGTAGAATGACGTGACCACTTAGGGGAGGAGTGTCGTAGTTTCCTAGGTTGATGAACCTACTGCATATGATCCAGCTGTTCCACTCCTAGGTGTTTACCTAAGAGAAATGAAAGCATATGTCCACACAAAGCAGCTTTATTTGTAACCACCCCAAACTGAAAACAACCCAAAAGTCCATCACCAGGAAAACGAATAAGCTAACTACTGCATATCCATACAAGAAAATACTATTCAGCAGTAAAAAGAATAAACTATTGGTACATGTTATAATAATATGGATGATCTCAAAATAATTATGCTTAGCGTCAGTAGCCAGACAAGAGAGAGTGCATTCTCTGACATAAATCGTACCAATGTTTTCTTAGGTCAGTCTCCCAAGGCAATAGAAATAAAAATGAAAATAAACAAATGGGACCTAATCAGATTTACAAACTTTTGCACAGTAAAGGAAACCATAAACAAAATGAAAAGACCACCTATAGAATGGGAGAAAATATTTGCAAATGAAGCAACTGACAAAGGATTAATCTCCAAAATATACAAACAGTTCATACAGTTCAACAACAACAACAAAAGAACCCAATAGAAAAATGGGCAGAAGACCTTGACAGACATTTCTCCAAAGAAGACATACAGATGGCCAACAGGCACATGAAAAGATGCTCAACATCATTAATTATTAGAGAAATGCAAATCAAAACTATGATGAGGTATCACCTCACATCAGTCAGAATGGCCATCATTAAAAAGTCTACAAATAACAAATGCTGGAGAGGGTGTGGAGAAAAGGGAACCCTCCTGCACTGTTGGTGGGAATGTAAGTTGGTGCAGCCACTATAGAGAACAGTATGGAGGTTCCTTAAAAAACTAAAAATAGAATTACCACATGACCCAGCAGTCCCACTCCTGGGAATATACTCAGACAAAACTATAATTCAAAAAGATACATGCACCCCTATGTTCATAGCTGCACTGTTCACAATAGCCAAGACATGGAAACAACCTAAGTGTCCATCAACAGAGGAATGGATAAAGCAGATGTGGTATATATATACAATGGAATATTACTCAGCCATAAAAAAGAATGAAATAATGCCATTTGTAGCAACATGGTTGCAACTAGAGATTATCATACTAAAGTGAAGTAAGTCAGAAAGAAAAAGACAAATACCATATGATATCACTTATATGTGAGCTCTAAAATACGGCACAAGTGAACTTACGTATTGTACAAAACAGAAACAGGCTCAGACATAGAGAACAGACCTGTGGTTACCAAGGGCAGGGGAGGGTATGACTGGGAGTTTGGGATTAGCAGATGCAAACTATTACATATAGAATGGATAAACAACAAGGACCTACCGTATAGCACAGAGAACTATATTCAATATCCTGTGATAAACCATAATGGAAAAGAATATTAAAAAAGGATGTATATATGTGTATAACTGAGTCACTTTGCTGTACAACAGAGATTGGCACAATGTTGTAAGTCAACTATACTTTAATAAAAAAGTTTTTTAAAAGAGAGTGCATGGTATATGATGCCGTTTATATAAAATTGTAGAAAATCCAAGTTAATTTATAGGAACTGAACGCAGATAAGTGGCTGCCTGGGTGTAGGAAAGGGCAGGGAGTGGGAAAAGGTAGAATTTCCAAAGGTGGTTGAGAAACTTTGGGGGTGATGGATATGCTTTTTATCTTGATTGTGGTGATATTTCACGGATAGGGTTGCCAGATTTAGCAAGTGAAAATATAAGGCACCAACTAAGTTTGAATTTCGGATAAAGAATATTTTTAGTATAAGTATGTACCGTGCAATGTTTGGAACATACTTATACTAAAAAAAAATACTTAGTGTTTATCTGAAATTCAAACATAACTGGGTGTTCTGTATTTATGTGGCACCCTGCTCATGTGTGTACATGTTTGTAAGACTTAAACTGCACACTTTAAATACATGCAGTTTATTGTATGTCAGTTACACTTCAACAAAGTTGTTAAAAGAAGAAGAAATTGTATTAACCAAGGAAGATGTGAGGATTTTCCTAGGTCTTCTCGGCGTGGCAGCCATGCCAAGACCAAAGTCCCAATGTCACTGTCCTCCTGTCCAGGGGCTCTCCCTGCTGCACCAAGTTGATTCGAGAAGAAAAGGTTTGCTCGCAGGGAGGGAAGAGTAGATCCCCAAAGTAAGGACATGCAGATATGGACTGA